TTCTTAGGAATTGGTGCAGGATTAAAGGACTAAGCATCAACCCTAGGAAAATCAATGTGTGTATCTTCACTAAAAAGAAGAAGGTGGCTATTAAAATGCCGGAAATCAATGGTATCCAAGTGACACTGAGTAAGGAAGTAAAACACCTTGGAGTCACTTGGGACCATAAACTGACATGGACCAAACACGTTCAAAACGTGACAAGTAAAGCCCTCAAATGCCTATGGGCCTGTAAAAGAGCGATAGGAAAGAATTGGGGACTAAAACCAAAAATGGTATACTGGCTGTACACAACGACAGTCAGACCTATCATACTTTACTCAGCTTTGCTATGGTGGCACAAAGCAAAGACTGTGCCAACTTATCCTTATTAGGAAAGACTCAAAGGCTTGCTTGTATAATGATAACAGGCGCGATGAGCACGACACCGACGGCTGCTATGGAGGTGATGCTGGGCATGCCTCCGCTGCAGCTGGAGGTGGAGGCTCGGGCAACAAATACATTGTACAGGATAAGCAAGTCAACTTACTGTTCAACAGTCCCCTGTCAGGGAGGACACACAATACTGCTGAACAGGATTGGACGTGAAGGAGTACTAGCTATGCACTCTGACACTCTAATCCGAGAATATCAGGACCGAAAATATAAGGTTGAGATAGATAGCAGCAGAAGTCATAAACCAAATAGTGGAATAAATTGCTATACAGATGGCTCTCTAACAGCCTTCGGCTCTGGAGCAGGCATCTATCGCAAAGATATAAAAGAAAAAATTTCTATACCACTTGGCAGGTATGCTTCAGTGTTTCAATCCGAGATACTGGCAATCTGCCACTGTGTACAAAACCTACTGCAAACCAATGTGACTGAGAAAAAGATTACCATCTATACTGACAGTCAGGCAGCAATAGGTGCTCTCGACAACTATTATGTTTATTCAAAGGTCGTTAAGGAATGCAATAGAGCACTTAACGAGCTAACTGAGCACAACAGAGTTGCAGTGGAGTGGGTGCCAGGTCACTCTGGCATACCAGGCAACGAGATGGCTGATGAGCTAGCCAGGTTGGGCTCAGATACCATTCCTATAACTCCCGAGCCTGTCTGTGGAATCAGCCTCAGCACTGCCAAGGGCAGGATCAGGGAGATCTATGGGAACAAATTTAGTAATTACTGGACCGACAAGAAACAGAGACATTCGAAGCTGTTCCTTGAAGGCCCATGTAAAAAAAGAAGTAAACAGCTACTGAACATGGACAGAGCAGCTCTTAAAAAACTTACAGCGATCTATACAGGTCACTGTAAGTTAAATAATCATATGTTCAATCTCCGAGTAATGACGAATCCGCTATGCAGATTCTGTCAGGAGGAGAATGAAACAGCTTTTCACATCATATGCAGATGTGATAGATTTATAAGGCTGAGACTGGTGGTATTTGGGGAGGAACAGATGGATCTCCCCAGAAGATATGAGTCGGTCAATCCAACCAGCCTACTTAGATACGCGGAAGCGACAGGATTAACGTTTTAAACAAAACGACTTACTGAAATTGGCGCACAATGGACCCAGTAGGGGTCGACGTGCTTAAGGCCAACAAATATAAAAAAAAATAAAAATAAAAAAAAAGCCCATCTTTGTAATCTATTTTGAATTGTGACTGATAGATTTTTGTATTTTCCAAAAATGTATTTCAAAGGTTCATGGTCTGTTCTAAGAATTATGTGAGTTCCATAGACATACTGGTAAAATTTCTTGAAGCCAAAAATGATGACAGCAGCTTCTTTATCAATGATTACCCTATGCCTTTCAGTTACCGGAATTACTTTTGACGCAAATGCTATGGGTTTTTCATCTCCATTCTTGAATTTATGAGAAAGGATCGCTGACAGTCCATATTGACTGGCATCGCATGACAGGACTAATTGTTCATTTGGATCAAATAATGTCAATACCTTATCTGACACGATTTGCTTCTTGATCCATTTGAAACTTTCCTCACATTCTTCGGACCAATACCACTTTTCTGACTTCAGCAGATCATAAAGACAACTACTTTATGTGCAATTAATGTTTCTGTGCTTCAGAAATGATTCATAATAATTTACTAATCCAAGAAAACTCCTTAACTGTTTGCAATCTTTAGGCCTTGGAGCACCCGTAACTGCAATAACCTTACTTTCTGCTGGATGAATTCCTTGTTTATCCAGAACAAATCCTTAAATCTCCAACTTACTATTTAAAAATTCACACTTTCTTTCATTTACTTTTAAGCCTGCGTCATTTAAGTGCCTAAATATTTCGGTTATGGTAGAAATGTGCTCTTCATCTGTTCTACCTGTACAATAAATATCCATTAAAATTTCCTGGCATTCTCCAGGGCTGGACACCATACCCTCCGGTAGCTTGATATATTGAAATAAACCTTCATTTGTAATAATCGTTAGTGCTTCTTTGGAACTTTCATCAACTCTGAATTGCATGAATGCATGTGCTAAATCAATTTGGGACCATTTACTATCTACTTGTAATTTACTAAAAACCTCTTCTTTACTTGGCACAGGTTGACGTTTGATAACTAAATGTGAATTGACGGTTAACTTAAAGTTACCACACACTCTAACTTGCTCATTCGATTTCAGAACAGGCACTATAGGTGTCGCCCAACTACTAACCGTCACAGGCTCTAGATTACCTACAGAAATTAATCTTTTCTTCTCTTTTACCTTGTCTTTAAGTGCAAAAGGCACCCTATGTGGTTTTAATTGTACAGGCACTGTTTTTTTAAAAATTACTTTAATTTTGTTTTCTGTATAAACTCCTTGCCTGGACTAAATAATTTTGGAAATAATGATTTAACCTTAGCCATTACTTTCTCACTTGTATCCTCTGAATTACAATAATTTAATTCTAGTTTGAATGGCCACAGACCAAGTTTGTTAAGCCAGCTTCTTCCCAACAAAGAGGGACCTCTCCCTGGTAAAACATAGCATTTTACATCATTTACTTCCTTATCATTAAATGACACTTTCAAATTTGTTAGCATCCCTATAGGCTTCAAATCGTTTTTTCCCATATGTCGTTAAGGTTAGGTCAGGTTCGATCATTGCTGTATGTGAAAAATACTGATCTTTCGACTCTTTTGATATCACTGTTACATATGATCCGGTGTCTACTTGCATTGTAATTTTAACTCCGTTTATTGACAAATCAATGACCAACGGTTCCGCCTTGGACTGCACATTCATCGAATCCGCATTCGATAATTCAATATCGTCTAAAAGAATTTGTTCTAAGTGAAAAAAAATCTTCTTCATTATTACTATCGTCTTCTGTTTTTATGATTCCCTCTTCTAAATAATTTACTCTTTTGTTCCATTTTTTTAGACACATTTTTTCCAAATGTCCTCTGACATTACAAAGTACTCACTTTAAATCTGTGGATACATTCTCTAGCACTAGTGACGTTAATCTCACCGCAACAAAAGCAACTAATGTGTTTTTTATTGCTATTAAATAATAATGGATGTGTATTACCTGTTTTAATTAAGTTTTCTTTACACTGCTTCTTCTCATAACTAGACCACCTTAAGTAAATTCTTGACTTCTACCTTCAGGTGTTTTATTGCTGTCTGTATTTCCTCTGAACATAAAGTTTTTCTGCAAGTACACAGTTATCTGGTGAGTTGCTAGTGCCTGCGGTGTTAGAAGCACTTTCCATTGCCAGTTCTCTGGTCTTTGCGATTTTCAAAGCATCTGAAAATGAAACCTTCTCTTTTCTAAATAATAATTCAATAATTCAACTAGTTCCTCATGATTCTTTATACCGGAAACAAACTGATCTCTTAGTGACAACTCAACATCGGGAAAGTTACAGTCCATAGATGCACTTTTCAAACGGGCTACAAAATCATTTATTGTTACTGACGCTAATTGATATGTATTGTTGAATTTATGTCTTTATAATAGTTCTGAAGATTTGGGATTTAAGTGCTTAGACATTAAAGAAATAATTTCTTTAAATGAGAGGTCCTTTGGGTTTTTTGGTATTGCTAAATTTCTAATAAGAATGTAGGTTTCTGCACTCACGTTTATAAGCAGTTCTGGTACATACTTACTTTCTTCAATATCATGTGCAATGAAATAAAGTTCTAACCTTTCAATAAAAGTGTCCCAGTCATCCTCATGTAAACGAAATTCAATTTTACATGTCTCCATCCTGTAGCTTGCTCCTTTATTCTTTGTTTTAACTTGGGTTACCTCTTCACTAATTTCCTTGCTTTCTTCTTTATTTTCAGTTCTCGATTCCTGCACTAAAATTTGCCTTAACCTATAGAGATTTGCCTCATCAAAAACCAAACCTAATTCTTTTAGTTTTAAAATCAACTCCTGTTTTTTTAATCCGTACACCCACGAAGTACCTTTCTTCATTACTTTTATCCTCGTCACCAAATGTTAAGTATTTGAATATTAAAACACAAAACTACTTTTGTTCACTTTGGTAGGAATATTTTTTTTAAATATCATGGCCCTGAAGCATTTTTTTTAATGCAATTATTTTATTTTTTTTAATTTGATGTTACTATTTATTTTTATTAATTTATTGCACATTGAATAATTTATTGAAATTAAGTTTCTAGATTTATTAAAATAAGCTGCTATAAAAATCAATCAGCTGTTCTATATTTAACATTTTTCATACTGTCATTAGGTTTGTTAAGTATTTGAAAATTAAATCACAAAACTACAATATTAGTAATCACAACTCTTTTATTCATTATCAAAGATAACACTGTTAGGTTAATACAACTAAATCACGGATTGGTATAATCGATATAACACAAGGTTTATTGTTTGTAGGCACGAAGAACAAAACGTCACTGTGAACTAAGCTTAAAACCAGAAATTTTGTTGTTGCTAATGGGGAAAATTAATGTTGCCATTTAATTAAAATAATAACACTAAGAAATCACTCGTAAATAAATGAATATTCTATTTGATAGAATAATTAAAAAAGTTTACTTGCCTTCAATGTGAAAATTATATCTGCATTGTGTATGGCTGATAGCCTATGCGCAATTATAATTGTTGTCTTATCCTTTGACGCGTTGTCTAAAGCAGCTTGAACAATTGTTTCACTGTGAGAATCAAGAGCAGAAGTGGCCTCATCTAAGAGAAGGATCTTGGGCTTCCTCAAGAGAGCTCTAGCGATTGCAATTCTTTGCTTCTGGCCACCAGATATTCGGACTCCTCGCTCCCCAACCAGAGTATTGTAACCCTTTGAAAGAATACAAATTAATACTTCAAGACTCATATTTTTATTATGCAGGTTTAGAATTTTCTAAATGGAAAATCAATGTTTCTTAATTTATGAATTGAAAAAGAATAAGATATTCATAGTATCATAGAAATTTAATTTACTTAAAATAAAATTAATCTATTCATCAGTACAGTAGAAACCCACCTTCTTCTTTCTAGTCCAGACTGATATATAAAAGAAAAAACTCCACTACATAGTAATTCATCGCTTTTACAGTGTGTCTACAACTGTCTGATTCACTTAATTTTCCTTATTCCTTATTTTAAATCAAATTTCTTGGTTTCCAGTGACATGAAATATTCAAAAATATTTATAAAATAATGGAGACCGAATAACAAAAATTTTAAGTAAAAAAAAACTTGATTATGATCCAAATATTAAAACATAAATTTTTTATTTTTAATGCCAAAAAACATTAATATCCTCCACTAACTCTTGAAACACGCACTTGAAAGGAAATCAAGAAAAATTCATTAAATTCTGTAAAAAGATTATTGGATTATAACACTGTTTATAATAAGATTCTGTATAAACAAAATTACCCAAGAAAACTTTTATTTATATATTATTACTTTCTTTATAATAGTGTTTATAATAGTGGATGTTACAGTGAAAATTAAATCAATAATTTCAATAAAACCTTTGGTTTATTTAATGTCACTGGTAGGAATTTTTTTTATTTTATTATTATTACTTTCCTCCACACTGAAGCTATGTGAGAAGGTCGTTTATTTACTGCATGTTTTAAATACACACACAACTCATCACTGAGTCCGGGCATTAGGTCCGCCTCAAGTAGGTCCCGCCAGTTGGCCCAATCCTGTGCAGCAGTCCTCCAGTCCCGCACGCCTAGACGAGGCCTTGCATCCTCAGTCACACCATTCATCCACCTTACGTTCGGTCGTCCCAATCTCCTCGTCTCTAAGATCTTTTCTGTGGCCACTTTCTTCGGAATCTCACCATTGTCCATTCTGGCTAGATAGCCAGCCTATCAAAATCTTCTGTTTTATTACTTTGGAGATCTCAATATCTTCAAAGAGCCCGTACAATTCTTGGTTCTTTCATCTTCCCCATGTCTTGCCAAGTTTGATGGGTCCATATATCCTTCTCAATATTACCAAGAACCGTTCTTAATGGCCCATGCCTCCAATTTATAAATTAGTACTGGAGGGACTATAGCTTTGAACAGGCTGATTTATGTCTTCCTTGAAAGATACCAGCTCCTGAAGTTTTATGATAAGCAGTTGAAAGGTCCCAAGGTGCTTTTATAATTTTTCATAAAATTTTATATTGTATTTTATTTATGTGTATTTGTTTTGCCGAATCCCAAAGTTCTGCTCCATGTGTCCAAATTGGTTTCAACGGTTTTGTAGATCAGTAGCTTATTTCTTAAGTTAAGTGAGGATCAGTAGCCTAGAAGATGTGAGAGTTTTCCCATAAACAACTTGTTGTTTATATCGTCTAGTCAGTTCTTGTCTTTTTAATTTAGTATGTATGTTCCAGGTAAGTCTTTTGTTTAAGTAGAGTCATAGAGTACCGTACGTAGCTTTTTGAAGGCATTGGAATATTATCAATCGTTATGGGTAGACATGAGTCTTTCCTAAGAGAGAAAGATATATGATGATATTAATGTATGATTTTCACATTAAGGAATGGACCACTAAGTTGGTGAATTTAGGGTTGTGGTGTCCATTTTAAATTCATGCAGGGTAGGATAGACCAGAGATTTCATTCTCTTGGTATATATATATATTCATAAAATACAGTTATGTTTATTAGTTATTTTCATTTCCAATTAAGATCATTGACTTATTTTTTAAAATCTTAATTAATATTTTTATTTTAATCATTGTAAACCAGTGAAAAAGTATGTATACCTGAGGAAGAGCTTCAATGAATACATGCACAAATGCTAGTTTGGCTGCTTCTTCAATCTCTTCATCAGTCGCCTCTGGTTTGCCATACCTTATATTTTCTTTTATGGAAACATCAAAGAGAACAGGTTCTTGTGATACAACTCCTATTTCTTGTCTCAATTTTTGTATGTTCAGATTGAGTAGATCGTAGCCATCAACAAAAACCTTAAAAAATTAACAATATGTAGTCAATTTAATAATGCTCTGTGCCTGATTTCATCACTGGATCAAATCCTTTCTCCTTACATATTAACAAAACTTATGTGAACTATCTCTTTCTCTCTCTCTCTCTCTCTCTATATATATATATATATATATATATATATATATATATATATATATATATATATATATATATATGTATATATATATATATATATACATACATATATATATATATATAGATCGGGCGTGGTTAGCACTTGGATGGGTGACCGTCCACCAGGGACGCTACCCGAGACCCCTGGTTTGTGAGACCCATCAGTCTACTGGAGGCAACTCACACCGACCTGGAGTAGGACTAATGACCCTAATGTATATATAAATATATGTCTATTCGTTTGTCCTATATACATTGCTACACCATATATCCGACCACCATGAAACTGTGGGAAGTTATTGCATACACTCCCACATAATTTTCCGACTTAGTACATCTATCATATTATAAGTTCTATAAATGTACAAAAATGAAAATGTACATGTTCGTTTGTTCAAAACTGCTGATCTCTAAAAGTTCTTCACTAATTGCTTTGAAATTTTGATACAATTTAATCAAATTCAGGAGTTTCTTTATAAACTTTTTATTACCAACCAACCTTTCATTTTCGAAATAGTGCCCAAAAACATGTCATTGACACAGTCCATAATGCCAAAACGGCTTCAACGATTTTAATGAAACTTGGCTAAAGGTTTCTCCTTGAAGCCCTTTTAATTTATGTTTATAACATGCTTCCCCAAAAAGAAGCTTAAAAAAAAATTAAGATGATTCATCATTTTATTTGTGAATAACTCAAAAAGTACACAATTTTTGGTTCTTTATGCCCACAAGTACTTGCAAGTACCACAAGTACGTACGGAATCTTCCTGAATTCCGCTCTCAGTATGCACCATTGCTCTCAGGGGAGGAGGAAGACAACTTTAATACACACAAAATGAATGTTAGTTAGCCTGCCCAGAGACAGCTACCTGTACACATCGCTATTACTCTCTTATATTATCAGTTCTGATTTTTTAAAATTTTAATGTTCAGTACAGTTCATTATAGTTGAGTGTATTTATCTTTTAACAGTATTAGTATTCACTGTGATTAGTGTAATATATTCACTTTTATCTACTTAAAGAAAGTGTCGTGAATCCAATTGAGTTCTAGAAGCTACGGGAGTGTAAACGTCTACTAATCCCTACAGCATTAGACAACACTGTTTACTGCGTTCATCAAAACAACTCTCTCCCGGTATTTATTTACATTTTAATTGTTCTATTCTAATTAAATATGGTGCAGTATAATATTTGCAATAATACTATTGCATGCGAAGATAAAAACAATCTTTGTTGTGTAAAATGCAAAATTATTTTTCACGGTCGGTGTCTCAATCTAGGTGAAAAAGAAATTGAAGTCTTAAAAGCACACAAAAAAACATGGGTATGCCCTAATTGTGACCAGACCAAAAAACCTAACACTGAGCCGTCCGCCTCAGAAATACTGGCGGCAGTAAATCGCTTAGACTCGAGTGTCAATGGAGACATAAAAAACATAAAAACAACCCTCGATAAATATGGAGAGCTCAATTTTGAGCTTAATGAAAAATTATCGAAAATTGAGAAACACCTCGAAAGTCAAGCCAGTAATTTCGAAACAATTATTCTGGAAAATAAAGCCCTCAAATCTCGAGTGGGCGAATTGGAGGTTCGCCTGAATAACGCAGAGCAGGGCTTGTTATCCAGATCACTGGAGATCCGAGGGATACCGGAGCGAACTGGTGAAACGCCCTCCGCTTTGGTGACCTGCATTGGAGCAAGTTTGGGCATCAGGCTCAGTACAGATAACTTGGACATAGTACATCGCCGCAGAAGTAGAAAAGATGACCCACGACCGCCGCCTGTCATCGCGCGCTTTGTCAAACAGTCAGTCAGGGACGACTTAATAACGAAGAAGAAAGTCAAGAGGGACCTCACTACTCGGGATATCGGCTGGCAGGAGAATGACTGTCACCGGATATATCTGAGTGAGGAAATGACTCCCACGAACAGACACTTATATTGGCTTGCCCGACAGAAGAGAGCTGCGGGGAAAATCAAATATACGTGGTTTGCCACCGGAAAGGTGCGATGTCGAAAGGAGGACGGGCATAAAGTTATTCTGATTGAACAGGCCTCGGACCTCGATATATTTGCCTGACCACGAAGAATTCGTCTACTCCTCATCCTAATTAAAATAACTTTGAACTCAATTATTTACAAAGGAACATTTTCGCTTCTACGCATAGAGATATCTCTTCACACTTACACACTAATTTATATTTTATTGACCATATGTTTTTTATTTCTTTTTGTTCCTGCTTACACTTTCTTTTCTGCTATTTTCATTAATTGCAAACGCCTTTTTGTATTTTCTATTTGTTTTAGAGTTTCTTTACCAAACTCTGACTGTTTCCCTCCCAATTCCTCTCATGTCTAGTACCCTAATCACCTGTCATGTTAACTCTCAATCCCTCCCTGCCCACTATGACGAGTTCCTGCAATATTTCACTCAAAACTTTTATCATATTATCGCAATCTCGGAAACTTGGCTTAAACCTTACATCCCTTCCTCTTCTGTTTCCTTGCCTAATCACACCCTCCTCCGTCATGACCGGGTAAGCCGGAATGGCGGAGGAGTAGCCATGTTTGTCCATAATAGCCTGAAGACTAGAATCCTCGATTCCTCACCACCCTCCGATCATCCTCAGGTTGAATACCTTCTAGTAGAAATCCATTGTAAGGATCTTCCTCTCCTTTACACTGTGGTATATCGTCCTCCCCATGTTCCATTTGATCAGTCCTTCGAATCAACCCTATTCAACTTCGTTCCTCTATATCCCAGAATAATCATCTCCGGTGACCTCAATACCAATTTCCTCTCTAATTCCAATGACAAATCCTATCTAGAAAACCTAATTTTCTCTCTGCACCTCTTTATAGTTCCATTTTCCCCCACCCACCACACCAGCAGGTCAGACACTTGGCTAGACTTCTACATTATAGACTCTGTACAAAATCTCCTCTCCTCTTCTCAATTGCCAGTATCATTCTTATCATCTCACGATCTTATACAAATAACATATAATATCCAAATTCCTTCAATCCAGCCTCGAACTATCACCTTCCGTCACCTAGATTCCCTTACTCGAGAAAAAATATTACCTGACCTAGAAACCTTAGACTGGAATGGAATATATTCTTGCTCTTCCATCGACTCCATGGTTGACATTCTTACCACCAATCTTCTCAATATTCTCAATACCCATGCTCCCCTCAAAACCTCTACCTTTCGTCACCAGCCTGCTCCTTGGATGTGTCAGGAAATCAAAGATCTGCAGAAGAGGCGCGACGCTGCCCGAAGACGTTTTAGACGTACGAGGCTTGCAGATGACTACCAAGCGTTCAGGGTGCTTCGCAACTTGGCACAGACAAGGATCCGGCGTGCGAAAGCTTCCTACTTCCATGAAACCCTTTCCTCAGCTCCTGATATCAAATCGAAGTGGCTACTGCTTCGTAAACTTTCCATTGGTAATCCTTCCAGATCCCCTACCGCAGCCTATCCTGTATCCTCCGATGATTTAAACTCCTATTTTATATCTGTCGCTAATACCTCTTCTCTACCTTCCTCTTCTGGCTTTGCTCCAGAGATATCCTTTAACGACAATAACTTTTATTTTTCTGACATTTCTCCCACAGACCTGTTAACCGCGGTAATGAAATCCCACACCAATTCCATAGGGCCAGACGGCATTCCTGTCAAATTAATAAAAATATGTCTACCTGAAATCCTCCCAGCTCTCCTTTTTATCTACAATTTCTCCCTTCAGAATTCAGTATTCCCTACCTCTTGGAAAAAAGCCATTGTCCTTCCTTTAAATAAAAAGCCTAATCCATCCTCACCCGAAGATTTCCGTCCAATTTCAATTCTTTCTAACCTCTCAAAGCCTCTTGAAAGACTGGTGCAATCCCAAGTCTCCAAGTTTCCTCGAAAAGTCCAACCAATTTGATCCTCTCCAATCTGGTTTCCGTCCCGGCTATTCCACACAATCTGCCTTAATTAAAATTACCAACGACATTCAATCTGCAATAGATGATAGAAAATTAACTGTCCTTATTCTTCTAGACTTCTCCAAAGCTTTCGATTCCATCAACCATTCCATCCTCTTCAACAAACTAAAATCATTATCTTTCTCCAATAGTTCCATCTCTTGGTTCCAATCTTTCCTCTCCCAACGCACCCAAGCAGTCTCCATACCCAACCAACCACTATCTGCTTTCCTTTCTTTATCCTCTGGAGTTGCCCAGGGTTCAAGCATATCTCCTCTCCTTTTCAGCTCCTACATTAACGACCTACCTAAATCAATTCTCCATTGTTCCCATCACCTTTATGCAGATGATTCCCAGATCTACCTATCCTTTTCTCCCTCTGAGTTACTGGGGGCATTTGCCAAGATTCAAGAAGACCTTGATCGAATCAATGCCTGGGCAAATGTAAATGGATTAAAGTTAAATGCTGCCAAAACTCAGGCCATTGTCATTGGTTCCAAGCCCCTCATTAGATCCCATACTGACTTTCCCATATTACACCTTAATGACCAGCCAATTTCCTTCTACTCCTCTGTTAAAAATTTAGGATTTTTCATAGATCAAACCCTCTCCTGGACCTACCATATTTCTCACATTTCCCGTCGGACAATTTCTACCCTTAAACTATTTCATCGCTTCCGCCATCTCCTACCTCAACATATCCGTAGACTCCTAATTTCCTCTCTCATCTTCCCCCACTTTGACTACAGCTGTGTGGTGTATGATGGCCTCTCGGTGGAGCTCCGTGATAGACTGAAAAGATTAATGAATAGCTGCGTAAGATTTGTTATTGGTGCCCCGAGGTACTCCCATGTCTCTCACCACTACACTGAGTTAAGGTGGCTCTTCCCCTCCTTCCGAAGACAATACTTTCTAGGTACGTTCCTCTACCAAATCATCAACAACCATCGTCCTTCTTACGCCTACAACCTTCTCCAGTTCAAATCCTCAGTCCATTCCCTGTCCACAAGATCTCGACCTTCTGACCTTTACATGCCTTCTCACAGATCTGCCTCATTCCAAAATTCCTTTATTGTTCGCTCTGTCAATTTCTGGAATTCCCTCCCTATCAAAATTCGACATTCCCCCTCCATATCCACATTCAAATCCCTCCTATTCCAATTCCTATCACAAAAACAGTCAGATACTTGCTAACCATTCGAGCGGATTTCAATAGAGAATTTGATACATTTTTATTTTTTAATTCTTTATTTTTTTCGGAAAAGTGTATACTGGTCTATAAGAGCAAATAGCTTTAAGTTTCTTGTCATAGTATTAATGGTTTTGTATATAGTTTAGTTTGTTTTGTATATAGAATTTTTACCTTATATTTTTTTCACATTATTTCTTTTTTTTGATTTATTTTATTTTGGCCAGATGTAATATTTTAATTTTGTTCTATTTTGTTATTCTCAAGGGACTGTGTCCCAGAATAAAGTTATTTTTCTATTTCTATTTCAATGTTATGGTTAATGCAATGTCTAATGCAATGTCACATTTAATAATTTTAAAGCTGAAAGATTGAAATGGTACCGTAAAATATTTTGAACAGCATTTTAAATCTAACAGACGGTGCTATTTAAAAAACAATTGAAATTGTTTCACATTTCAATACTGAAAGGTATTGAAAATAACACATGTATTCGAATGTTTATAGTTAAGCCAAGATTTCAAAGCAATTGGGAAAGAACTTTCTGAGGTTTTGAACAATCAAACATTTACATTTTTATTTGACAGGAAATAATCAACAAAAAATTAAATATATGAAAAATGTGTGCTTTAAATATTTTTTTTTCCCCATTTAACCAGACTGAGCCACAGCAATACGTGACTAGGTAAAACTATTTATTAATAAAAGCCATATACCAATTTATTACACTAACTTAATTTTTGAATTTTTTTTTCCAATTACCTTACCAGAAAGTGGATCAAAGAACCTTAGAATGAGATTGACTAGAGTACTCTTCCCACAACCACTAGATCCAACTATTGCAACTGTCTTGCCAGCAGGAATCGTTAAGTTTAGACCAGATAAGACCTTGAATATACATTATATAAACTTGTTTATCTGTAAAACTAATATAATTTCATTTTTTTTTTTTTTTTTTATATATCAATGAATAAAATAAAATAAATCAATTAATTGAATTTAGCTTTTACTGAAATCTTTTAAATACATAAATGCTTTATTTTGTCATGTCATCGTAAAGAAAATAGTGAAAAACAATGACAACAAAACCAACCATAATTTGAGGCCTTGTAGGATATGAAAAAGAGACATTTCTGAATTCAATAGCCCCTTTTATATTTTCAATTGTGAATCCTTCCTTAGAATATGGATCAATTTTAGGTATATTGTCAATAATATCTAGTACAATTCCAGCCGATCCAATTGCTGCACTTATCTCAATAATGTTGGGCAGTGAGTTTCCGATTCCAATAGCACCAGTTATAACGCTCATCAATACCTGCAAAAAGAGCAAATGCTAAAGTAAAATTTATCCAATTTCATTTCAGGGGCCTCAAAAGGTTTATGTATGCCTATTTTCATGCATCAAAATTGTGATTCTAATAATCTAGCAGAACAAAAATTAATAAGATAACCACAACCTGGGTTTGATACTTAAAACAACTTACTGTAAACAATTGACCAGGTATCAATAGATGGTTGAGAAAGAGCTGTGAACCATACCAAAGACCAAAGCCGTAAAGGAAATAGACTAAACCCATAGAGAGAGCTAAGCTGACGGAGAGTGGATAGTATTTTTTCATTGCCAGATTTTTGCCTTTCAACACTGCATCTCTGAATCTTAAGAAGTGTGTTGTAAGAAATAATATCTAATAATTTCATAAACAAAGTAAAGGATGTGTAAAGAGTATATCAAACTTATACAAAATTAATTTTGTTACAAGTAAGGTGACCATGAGTAACTGAGTATTGATTTTACAAAAGGATCTCCAGGTACTTTTAAACAAGATTTACTTATGATAAGTAGGAAAAAAATTTTGACTAATTTATTATGTACCATTTAAGAAATATTATAATATTTTATATATGTTATTACATTTAAGAAATAAACGATTAATGTTTTATAAAATACCATATTACTCCCTCAATTATAATTCATAAATAAAAATCTTTGTAACAAGATGTTTTAAATCCATCTATATTATAACGTATTTTCGTGATAGTATGATAAAATAAATTTTTCCCAATAAAGGTTTTCGATGAAATGATAATTTTTATCAAATTTATTTTTAAATTATTGCTGTATTAGGAAAACTTTTTTTTATCAAAATGAATGGAAGCAAAAGTACTTGTGATAAAGAGTAAAAACAAAAATAACTAAATTTATAATATTATTTTAACAATTACTACCATAAAGTAGTAAACTATATAATTTTTTAACAGGTTGTTTTTAGACTTAACAGACTTTTTTTTATTATTTGAAAATGTTACAATATTGATTAAATAAAAACATCTTGTTAAATTAAAAAAAAAAATTATAAGACATACTTTTATCAATATGTGTGTGTATATTGAAGTTCCGGCAATTGCCAGATTCTCTACTTGAAACATGTATGTCTCTGCTACATTCTTTTATTTTATTCAAGCTCCACTGGCATTTAATGTCAGTGACGTAGTTTAGAATGAAATACTGGGATCTTCTGGAATCTTGCTTTTCCTCCACAGGTGAGGGGAAAAGCTACAGGTTTGGATTTCCCCTGGTAGATGGTTAATAGTGTATATAGACATGCTTGTGTTTAAAATATTTATTTTCTATATTTATTAAGTTTAGTTCATTATTTTTTAAATAGTATTTTTATATAGTTATTATTATCTCAGACGATATTGTAATAACAGCAGAGGTTTGCAAATGGTGGTAGATTTATTTGTAATAGTTTGTAACCCTTACTGTTCGAATGTTCTTTTCTGGAAACCGTTAAAAAACAAACCTTGAAGTCTATATCAATATTAAGGAAGAAGATTTTTTATTAGAAATTATCTTTGGTATTAAAATAATTGATCAATTGAATAATATATTTTATTTCCTCATTCATGTTTTTGACTATATTAATAATAGTATCCCTTAGCATTATGTACACAGTCAAGATTAGTTTAAGTATATTTAACTGTATATTTAAGCGATAAATATATTATCTACCTAGTTATTATTATTATTTTTGTTTACTTAATTTATTTATCTTCTCATTATAAATGGTGTGAATGAACTCTTTTTTTAATACTATCAATGTGCTATATTGTGACAGAAAGGGGTGCCTATCCTCCCTAAGGTTGATGGCGCATGAACCTTACCCCCTCTCTTCCAAGATATTTTATTGCTTACCTCTTCTTAAAAAGAGTGCAGATGAAAGTAGATTTAGAATGATTGTAGATATTATACAATAACACATGCTGTGGTCTGTTTCCTATTTTCCCATTGTTTCCAAGTTTAAAACTTTTCATTCTGAAAATTCATAACTCTGTCGAAATACGTCTCCCTTAAAACTTCAAAAACCCGTCAAAATATGACCCTCAAAAATGTTGATAGTGCAAACGAGTGCCATGAAACACCCTCCTAGGCACTCCAGATGGTAGAATATAATATTATTTGAAAAAATGAATTACCTTTCTAGCTCTAACTGCTCACCACCGAATGCATTTACAGTCTTTATTGATGCCAATGCCTGGGAAGCTATCCCTCCAGCAATACCATAACGTAACTGCTCCCGAGCTGCGATTTCAGAACCAGCCTGTATGTCAATTTTCAAATCAATTTAATCAAATCCACGATGAATTATTTTTGAGTAATTGTACGTGTGTACATCTTTTGGAAGTATCAATTACTCGCTATTCTACTTGTTCTAATGATAGCTCTCTTACTAACCTTAGCAGTGTATCCAGAAATGGCAACAAGTATCGGACCGCTGATCATGAGTACAAGTGTCAGCCTCCAGTTGGTGAAGAAGCCGACTGTCAAACCAGACAGCAACAGGGACACAGATTGGACCAAGATTGGGACCTTACTGCCAAGTCCATCCTTCATCCTTTCCATATCACTGTTTCATAGTTTATTTTATTTATGTTACCTCTTTAAGGGAAAATAAATTGAGGCTAGAATTAGTGGTAGTTATAATATCTTAAGTGATAGTGTGTGTGAGAAATCATAAAAATTAAAGTAAATTATCCTTTTCTAGACCTACACAAATAGAGTTTTTACTCTGATACTGCTTGGTACCTCCATTTCTTTAATCTCTGGCCAGTGATACCCTTTTTTTTTTTTTTTTTTTTTTTTTTAAATAAAGACAATATTTTTAATTATTAATCCAATTACACCTATATAACTAAGAAACATGCAAAACTAAAACGTCGATAAAATAAGTAACTAGACATGTAAATGAATGAATGAAGATATACAAAATAAATAGACATAAATGAATGAAAAAATACTTACAATTAAAGCAAAATATTTACAAAATACTACATCACCATAAACTTGCGGCATAAAATAAATTTGGTACTACTGTATAAGTGTCACTCCTCTTTCATCGAAGGCATAAAATATCATAACCACACCATAAACGGAACTCGAGAATGGCCGAATGTGTCTGCAAGTAAACGTCTGGTAAGGTCCCAATTTCAACTGAAAAAGACGGTCGGGGGTTTCTTTCATAGCCGCACACTTATCATTCTAGTTGGGAGGGATAATTCTCGAGTGATTGTACATTGTCAATTTCCATTGCACAAACATCCTCGGATGTTTCCAAGCCTTGGCATTCGGTTCTTCTTTTCCCACTAATACCTCAGAAAACAAGAATGTCAATCTGCTCCTGTGATATTTACGGGGAAGTTTATGAATCGTTATGAAAGGAAAAGATAATTTTTTTAAATTTATTTTTTTTTGGAATATAATATTTTGTAATATTGAAAATAATTATCATGAGGTAAGACTACATTCTCACTTATGTATGTATAGAAAATATAAAATAAACAGAAGTAAAATAACAACTAAATAATAATAAAAAATAAATTAACATAAAGATAAGTAAATTAAAAAAAAAAATTATTTCTATATACACTATTTACAATCAGGCAAGGGAACTCCGAACTGGCTTGTCCCTCCAACTATGGAAGGCAAAGTAGGACTCCAGGAAATCCCTGCGCTACTCTCTCAACCGCGTCAATAGTACTAAAGTCAATGGAGACTGGTAAAGAACGCTTTAGCTACATACACTCATGTCTTGAGTGGAAAATCTGGCCATTGACAGAACCCCAATATACCTAGTACTATCATAAATATTGTTAAAAGGAAATATATACAGATTTAAACAGAAAAAATAATTGTTTCAAAAACTTTATTAGAAAATAAAATTTATATCTACAGACAGTAAAAGAAAAAAGAAATTACTCAAAATGTCCCCATTTTGCCTTGACACAGGCATTTAATCTCCGTGGCCAGTCATAAATAGCAGCACGCAGCACTTCTTCAGGGAAGTGCTAAACTACTCGAACCAGAGATTGTTTGAGGCTTTCCAAGTTAGGGTGTGCTCTGTGGCCTCCCATCCTCTCCAGTTCGGACAAAATCGATAATATAGTGAGTTGAGATCAGGGCCAATCCTAGGCAGAGATGAACTCTGGAATGTTCTTTTGCAGCCACTGCTGAGTTGACTTGGTCTTCTGAGCTGGAGCGGATTCCTGCTGGAAAATCCAATGACTTCCAGCAAATAGAGTATCATTTAGAGTCTTGACAACAGGTTCCAAAATATCGTCCTGGTAGTTTTTAGCGGCTGTTTTCACTCCTTTTTCACAAAAATTGAGCTTTGTGGTGCCATCAAAGCAAACTCCCCACCAAACCATTACTGAGGAAGGGTGATGTCTTCCAATGATTTCCTGGGATTCTTTAGAGCTGTGTGCGTACACACGATCATTTTGGCGATTACATTTTTCTTCAATCGTAAAAATTTTCTCATCCTTAAACAAAATCTTTCGATGAAGACCATTGGTGTAACGGTCAAGACACTAGCGGATCCAGGATTTAATTTTGGGCGGGGGTTTCAGCCCGAAAGCTTTATTTTTTCATAAAAATAACGATATTTACATTGGAAAAAAAACAACAATTAACTACCTATATGAAATGGTGTTTAAGTGATTTCTAAAGTCCTTTTAATTGCAATTACACGAACAATAATATTTTAAGAAATAATTTTTTAATATTTTTTTCCATAAAACATGGTTACATTTTGCCATTTTGGGGGAAGGAATTCAGCTACAAAGACCCTCCCTCCCCCCGTAGATCCGAATGTGGGCCAAGAAGCACTTTGCATCTAATTTTTTTTTTTCGGAAAGTGGTTAGTCTTTGTTCTGTCATTCTTCGGAATGCACCCAACCAAAGATCACTTTTTATTATGCGAGACATTGATCTGACAGAGATTCCCATTTCCCGAGACATGATTTGTTGTGTTCCAATGGGGTTCTTCTGATTCGAGCAGCCACTGCTCTCACCGCATTTGACGTTCTCACAGTGCGTGGACACAGTGGCCCGGTCGAGGTCTGTCGCATACAGATAGGGTCTCATTTTATCTATTTATAAAGCGGTACACGAACATCCAGCTAATATACAAAGGTTTCAAAGTGTTCAAAATCTCTGACCTATATTTTCCAACTTTGTGTAAAGCTATCACAGCTATTCGGTTTTCTTTATCACCCCACTCCAGGTTAACTGAGCGAAAGAAAAATACAAACTAATTGAGATTATTATCCTGACATGTAAAGAAAATAACATGATAGAGGTAAGGATTATCTAAATAATACCCAAGGATGTAAACAAAGTTCAAACTTCACGGCAGACAACGTAATTTCAAATAGGTTGTCTTCTGGACCTTGATATCTCCTGGACGAAATTCAGCAATATAAGTTTTTGTAGCGAGGTAGATTTTGAAGATAATAGAAGGCCTCTATACTGCGTTTTCCTATATTTTCATTAGAGTACAAAGGTATGAGATAGGAAGAGTCAGAGGTACCCAGAAGGGAGTTTAATGGAGAGGGTCACACTTTGACGGGGTTTCCATTTTTTGAGGGGAGCACATTTCGATGGGGTTATGAATTTTCAAAATGAAAAGTTTCAAATCAAAAGACAAATGAAATCATGGAAAAGACCATAGGATGTACAATGGTAATCTACGAATATTCAAATTATACTTTCTTTTGCACTATTTTTGAGAAGAAGAGAGGAATAAAATGATTTGGGAGGAATGGGAGAAGGTTTATGCGTCATCGGCCTTGGGAGGGATGGGCACCTCTGGCAAGAGTGTTAAAAGAATTAGAAAAAGGTAGTTGGAAAGAATCTTACTTGTATGAAATCAGCCTACAGACGTTGCAGAGGATAAAAGTAAATGCTGCGGAAGGAAGCAGCTACAGATCATTGCGGATAAAAGGTTTATTTCAAAGAATGGTATGAATTCAAATAGGGAATGTTGATTTTTAAATCATGATGGATAGTTGGATTCAGTATGTTGAATAGACTTTTTATTGAAAATATAAATAATTAATTGTTGTAATAGAAAAGTTTCATATCTCTTACTCAGTAATCTTGTTGGTCAAGTCCTCATTCCCTCTCTCTTCATACCACGTCATGTCCTGGCGGAGGGTCTGGGCGAAATATATCTGCCTAATCTTACAGATCTGGTTGCAGCAAGCCATTTCCCAGCATAATATCTACAATGAGCAAGGCACAAAAATATTTCATTTGTAGATTTTAAAAGAGCAAGAGTGTCAATATAACGGGAGTGGGCACATAAGTCTTAAAATGCAGATTTTGACAAATAAATTTTTTGGTATGCATAACTGTTCATTAAAAAAAAATCAGAGGAATTTTATAACAGTTTTGGTATTCTTACCTGAAGAAAGCTAAGGAAGCAGACAACTATTCCAATGATAGCATACAGCGATCCATAGCGATGTGTTAAATCCAAAAACACTTTCAGATTGATGAAATCTTCTGGAACACTGATTCATAATAATAATCATAGTCATATATATGTATTGTGAAAATGAATTCCTATAGAGTAATGATATAATTAATAGCCCGGGGCTTGAAATCGTTATTTAATTACTGACAATTTGCAAAAATTAAGCACAGAATATGATAAATAGAAGAAAAGTGAATTAATGGATCATCACTTGATTAATAATTAACTGAGATCAAATAGAATTTATTAATCAATTAAAATGCTGAATTTCGTTCTCATGTTTTGTTTTATAATAATTTCATAAACACCAACTTAATCCACAGTCAATTTTTCAATCGCCAAACTCAATTTAGAGGAGATATTAGAGGCAAGGAAAACCTTAAAAAACAACAACATAGTGTTGCCTTTCCCTCCCTCCACATAGCCCTGAGGCCAGGTACCAAAAATCGACCTGATCGCAGGCGAAGGTTTGATTGTAAATTACTCTGTTACATTTGATTGTATATTATTCTGAATAAAAATAACCTTGTCTGCTGTTCCAGAGGCGCTGCTTTGAAAAATGGCGGCTGATTTAAAGAATATTAGCCAGTAATTTTAGAATCGAAACGGAAAATCCATTGCGAAAAATGTGAGATAGGTTTTTATTTTTTAAACTTTTATATATGGGTTTAGAAAACAAAATTGCTAACGCTGGCCACCAAGGCAAAACTTTTCATAGCCAAAATAGTCTGATTTTTTCGATATTTTCACCTATAACTCCTAAATGATGCATCAAAGCGAAATATGTACCCTTTTCATAAATTAAAGAACGTTATATTATGCGTTCTGCGAGCACATAAACTTTATAGTATGTTTACGTGGTAAAGTATAAAACCACGATCAACCATCGCTGATTTTTACCAAATTTGTAAAAAATTACACAAATGGTCCTGAAACTTGGAAATGAATTCTCTAAGAGAAAAAAACCCATATAATCAAAGTTGTAGAGCATTAACTTTTGCGTCCAGTGAGTATGAACTTCGAACAAAATCGGTAATTCCCTGATTGTTAGAAATGGGTAATGAAGGTAAACGTGATTTTGAATATTTCAATAGTATGGGTGTCTATTATACTGAGTTATTTTTGTTTAGATTCTGTTACATGCTGCAAAATTCTCTTTTCCTCCGCTCAGCAGCGAAGGATTTTGATAAAGGACGTGTCGAAAGACCGAATTTCATAAAGAAATAACGAATCCGTTCGAGATATAATGCCTAAATAAAATGTCAGTATTGAGTGGACGCAAAATTTGATGCTCTACAACTTTGATTCTATGGGGTTTCCTCTTAAGGAACTTATTTCCAAGTTACAGGGACATTTATAGTCATTTGTCTCAGTTTTGACAAATTTGGTAAAAATCAGCATTGGTTGACCGTGGTTTTACACCTTACTACGTAACCAAATTATAAAGTTATGTACTTTGACGCATAATTTAACGTTATTTAATTTATTTCATAGAAAATTTATTTTCTATTTTATTTATTTTCTATTTTCTATATTCTATATTTTATTTTCTATTTTCGTTATTTCATATTTCGCTTTGATGCATCGTTTAGAAGTTACAGATGAAGAAACAAAAAAATATCCAAAAAATCTGACTTTATTGGCTATGATCAAAACTATTTAAAAATGGAGGAGACGACTTAAGAGTCAAGCTACTACAACTAATCCAGAAAATATGGGAAGAGGAAAGGATACCTGAGGCATGGAATACGGGCCTAATCTGTGCTATCCTAAATAAAGGCTCCATATATGAGTATAGTAATTACAGAGGCATAGCACTCCTTCCGGTAGCCTACAAGATAATGACCAATATCCTACTAAACCGGTATCACGAGAATATAATAGGCGACCACCAAGCTGGATTCAGAAAAGAGAGGAGCACGCTAAACCAGATCTTCATCTTAAAACAAGCAATTGAAAAACGATGAGAAGTAGCTCAGGATGTACACGCCCTATTTGTCGATTTTAAAGCAGCCTATGATTCTGTGGACAGGAGCTGTATTTGGAAAATCATGAATGAAGTGGGAATTCCCGGTAAGTTGGTGAGATTGACAAAGGCGTGTACAAATGACCCCGAATGCAGAGTCCTAATACAAGGAGAAGTATCTGAAGCCTTCAAAGTTCGAACGGTTTACGGAAAGGAGATGGATTATATATATTTATCTTCGGCCTAGAGAAGGTAATAAGAGCAACATCAAAGAAAAATGGAGGGGTCCACGTCGGAATGAATCATAAAATCCTTGGATACGCAGATTATATAGCTGTCCTTAGAAGAAAGTATGAAGACATTGAGAAACGCGCTACAACACTGATAAGAGAGGCAGATCAGATCGGCCTAGAAGTAAATGAAGACAAAACAAAATATATCATAATAAGCCGAAAATTCCACTCTAATAGCAGGAACTGCGTAGAAGGAAAATCAATCCCGAGTGTAGACAAATTCAAATACCTCGGCTCCACAATAACCTCAATTAATGACCAACGGGCAGAAATAGACCAGCGTATAACTAACGCAAACAGAGCTTTCTTCTCCTTCTCAAATTTATCGAAATCCCAAAAAATCTCAAGAATTCTCAAGCTGAGGGTGTACAATGCTATGATAAAACCAATTCTAATATGAGCTGTGAGATCTGGACACTAACCAGCACAATAGAAAAAAGTGTTGAAATTTGAGAGAAAAGTCCTCCTAACGATAACTGGGGCGATCTGAGATCAGAGTACTAACACATGGAGAAGAAAGATTAATAAAGAACTGGTTACAGAAAGTGGTCAATCAATATCCCATGGTATGAACGCACGGAGGTTGTAGCCCGTAGCAATCCATCTGGAAACCTCTACGTAACAATTAGTGCCTTGATAGAAGGCAAAAGACCAGGTGGAAAGCCAAAAAGCAGATGGATAGATAGAATCAACAAAGATACAATAGAGCTGCGTGCAGATAAATGGAAAGAAATAGCCCAAGACTGGCAGAGATGGAGCAGGTTAGTTAAGGCGGCAAAATATCTACATGGTCTGTAATTCCAACAGAAAAAAAATATATATATTTTGAACTGAAAAATCTCAGCGAACAATTTGAGCCTACAAACTAAAAAATATTTCCAATCCTTACTCCCACGAAATCGTTACATACCTAAAATCAGATAATCCATATCATAATCTATAAGATATAAGTACGAAATGAATAAAGTGATGCTTAAATTTCGTCCACAATTTTTAATATTACATTTATTACAATTTGTTCTTATGTAATATCGACTATAATGTTAATTACCCCCTATTTCCGTAAGATTCTTCTAATGCAGGTAATGGCTGGTACCTTGCGAATATATTTTCGTAACTCAGTGCTGTGTTGTTCAAATATCTGGGATCTTTTGCCTGTAAAATACATTTTGATAAAAAGTTACAAAAAAAATCATGTTTTTAGTACTTTTAGAATTACAATTCTCTCACGTATTTCTCCTGTGATACAAATGCCGAGGTAAGATCTCCAAAGAGTAGCGATGTGAAGGGCAACATGATGCCGTTGACGAGAGATGCTGTGGTGCCCAGAGTCATCAGGAAGACATCGGAACAGCCAGCGTAGCGGAACTGAATACAGAATCGAGAAGAGTTTCCAACTAATTTATAATAACTAATACACAATTATTATTAAAAAAGGCTGCAAATTATTATACAATGGTTTAATATTTCAAACAGCTATACTTACTTACTTCGCCGAGTCCCTGCCTACCGCCGTTGCAGTGTTCGATTTCTCTTACAAAGCCTGGACATTAGATCTCTATCCTGCGTCAATTCTCTCCTCCTTTACCAATGCATTTTCCTGTTTTGATATACTCCCTTTATACCTTCCCTCATCTTCTCCTTGGCCTTCCTCTCGGTCTAAGAGCTTCGACCTGTGTCTCATAGGTTGCTCTGGCTATTCTATTTTCATCCATCCTAATGACATGTCCATACCATCGGAGTTGATCTTCCTTGATCACTGTTCTTGCAGGTTTTAGATTGAGGTTCGTCCTTATTATAGTATTTCTGATTTGATCTCTTCTTGTTTTACCTTCAATTATTCGAAGGAATCTCATCTCAAAACTCTGTAGTAGACTCCTATGCTTTGTAGTAAGAGTCCTAGATTCACTGGAATACTCCAGTATTGGGATGAAAGTATTCTTGTATATAGCCACCTTTTTTTTCTTTTGATACTTCTCTCCTATCAATGAAGACATTTTCAACAGTATTGAAAAATTTTCGCAAACTATTCTTTCTCTGATCTCCGTATCTATAAGTCCTTTTTTCGTTTGATGCTCCTGGATACTTATATCTATCCACCTGTTCTATTATTTTTTTAATTTATTATACGGCCTAAACGTAAATTGTGAACCTAGAGCTTTCCAATTCTCACCACCTTTGTTTTTTCCTCGTTTATTGCATATTAATTTTAACAAGCTCGTCTCTTAGGATCAATATATTATATTGAAGATCCTTATCATCTTTCCCGAAGACCGCCAGGTCATAAGGATAAGCCATCAACTTAGGTTTCGGTTGCCAAGGTGAAAACTTCTCATTTTAGGTTTGGCTTTTTTTCTAAGCTGAGTTCAGGAGAACAATAAATAGCAGAAAGCTGAGACAACAGCCTTTTCGTATACCACTGACAGTTTCAAATTTCGCAGAGGTGCAATTGCAAGGACGTTCTCGCTATATTTCTATTTCTTTTGTAAAGACTTTCTATAGCCATTGTCCACTCCCAGCTCTTCCAGGATCTTCGCTAAATCTTTTTTTCTTGCTTGGTCAAAGACTTTTGTCAAATCCACAAAACATCAAACAGTTATTTACCATATATAACACAAATTTCTTTCTCACAAAAGGAAATAGATAAAAGATGATTCTATGATTATAGGCCTCAGAAAGTTTTTTTTTTCATCAATAGTAGTATAGAGAAAAATTGTGATTGCTTCAAGTGATTTAAGACTTTCCCAATATTTAAGAGAAGAATAAGAAGCGTCTGCGCCATCTAGCTGGATGAAAGGAATCCTTTTTCATCGAGTTTCATAAAAATCGAAGGAATAAAAGTGAAGTTAGAGGAACAAATATGATTATATACTAACTATTACTTCTATACATGCAAAAGATACAAATGCAAAAGTTACAGATTTATGCGAATTCTGTTTGTGATTAGCCTCAATGTGATACATATCAGTTAATTATTTTTGTTGTCCATGCTTAATCTGATTATTTGAAAGCACTCTAGGATTTTTTGATTTGATGGAATTTGAGTGGCCTCACATCAAAGACGGAAATTTTATAGAAGTTGAGAAAAGGCTTGGAAAAACAAAAATTGTGTTTGTATACATAGTATCAATTTAATCCAGTTCTAATGATTTCTTTCATGTTTGAAATTTAACATTCTTAAAAAAAATAAGCAGAAACTGATAGAGCTGAACCTATAAAAGAAAAATTGACTCTTCTTCACTTTATGAAAATAACAGATATCTATCTTTGAGAAGAGACCACTCATATGACGCCCTCGGACAATTATGTCATGAGCCTCCCTGCATAAAAGAAAGTAAAGTTTAGAAATATGAAATGAGACTCATGTGAAGAACATTGTATATTTTCTTGCTACGAGGGGGTTGTTCTAGAGATCCAACCAAACCTATTCTAACCAGAGTGGGAAGGTCACAATTCATTCCGCCACGAAACAATTTTCAACTCTCTCAGGCCGTATGCGAACCAGCTATACTTGGGCGTCAAAGTTTACGTTTTAATACGCTTGGCCATTACGATATTTTTTTTTCTCGTCTCCCTCCCCCCCAAGGTCCCTACTCCCGATACTACTGCAGATCATTCTCAATTGCACTTGCGGCATTCTGTTCCACGTTTTCTCCTTGCCCCTTATACTGAAACTTTTCATTCTGAAAATTCGTAGCTCCATCGAAATTTGCTCCCCTCTAAAATTCAAAAATCCGTCAAAATATTTCCCGCTCAGAAATTCCTTCTGGACACTCCTGGAGTGAATTGTGCCAGAGTTAAAAATCCTCCGGTCACTGGGACTAGAACTCGTAATCTTCGCTTTATCAGGTTGCCTGATAGTGTATTTTAATATAGTTTGAAAATGATTAATCTAAAACTTTTAAGAAAATTCAGTATAGCGTTACCTTCTTTGCATCAATTCTCTTTTACTAAGAAGAAATAACACCATCACAGAATGAACACTTACCAGCCGTGAGACAGTAGCACCCTGGTCATGATGGTCCTCCTTATTCCTTCTGAAATGGATAACAAGTTATTCTCTCTGTTTCATAATAATTATTACTTGTAGATGATTTATACTTACTTGTTATTGAGGTATTTGGCGTTATCTTTTAGAACCCGATCAAGCGTGCTGGTTGCCTGAAACATATTGGCTACATCATAAACTTGTACTGTAATCTCGTTTATCACGTTTTAAAGACTATTTATTTGAAACCCTACCCTGCCTATAATGCGATACGGATGATATATAGCAGTAAACAGCAATGTATGCTTGCGTTACTCCTCAACTCCTCATTCGGACCAATATTTTTTGTTCCTGCTTACACACAAGTCATCTTTTCTTTTCTATCCTCTCTTGTGGCTTTCTGGATGCATGCCCATCTCTTCTACCCTACGAAAAGTGGATTGAACCAACAGATTCCTTCCAGCCATACACAAAGATCTCCTTCGTCATTAGGTATCATTTAGTAATCATTCATGGTCAATGAATAATCCTACGAAATGGTGGCGATCAGATTATCCATTACCGCAAAGTTTCTGTACTTGATCCAAAACTACAAAACATATACTCCATCCACACCCCTTGATTATTTATACATCTCTCACTCACCAAGTCTGAAAGCGAGTACCTTCCGTAGGTGGGTAAATTTAACGATATTTAAAATTAAAGCCTTAGGTAGATGAAATGCTGTTCACTGGTCGTACCTTTGACACATAGGACCAACCTGTTCCTTTTTGTCCACTAGCTTAGCTGACACATGTTTCGAGAGTTTCCGGTATTTCCAGCAAAATCTTGATCTCGGCAATGGGTGATTACACATTTACAATAGCTCGTTAAAATAATAATTTTCTTGAAAAATCTAATATCATGCCACCTCCAAATAAATATGCTTTATATAGTAAAAAGAAAAATTAAATTCAATCACGATCCCCATTAATATATATATATATATATATATATATATATATATATATATATATATGTTTTTTTGATCGAGAAAATATTATAATTGAAATTCATCTAATGGTTTATCAATTTGGGAAATTTATGTAATAACGTTTAACAACCTTTTCCTAAAACTGTTATTTCACTTTGTGACACGAACCTTCAACTTATGGTAGACATAATAGGCATACTTGCAGAAATAGAATTATTTAATTAATGTTTTATTTTATTTCTCTCATTTTATATGTATATATATTTTTCAGTTATATATGCTATATCAGTTATATATATTATAAATGTCTTTTGATAAATTTGTGTGTAAGGGTGACCCACACCAAAGGGCTTTTATTAAATTATCTTTTTAGGAAGTCTCAAAAATAATAAAGCCCACTAAATAAAGATAAATTATTTTCATATTTTTCTGTATCGAATATGAGACATTTTCGGAAGTTGAATTAAACCCTGCAACGTTTGATGTTATAGTATTCATTCATCATTTGTAAGAAATCGTCGACTTGCTCCTTATCTAAAATGCTTCGTGACTCGTAAGCATTAAGAATTGTTTATAAGATTTTTTTTCTTGGACTGATCAGAACTTCTATGATGATATAACAGAAAATATTTTCATATTTTAATTTTGAAAATCTAAACTAATTTGTGAACAGTCTGACCTACTACAACCTTTGACTGTCATGTAATAACTTATTAGACACTTGATATATACTAAACTACTGTTCCATCAAACATTATTAAATGATTAAGCATTAAAAAAGTTAACAATACCTATCACCTAATATTACATATAACCTAATTTGATTTAGATTTTAAAGTTATACCATCAAGTCTAAACACACACACGATGTCAATGACACTTCAGGGTAGAAGTATTCCTACAATAAATAAATAATTTTTTTATAGACGTCTTCATTTTTACAAATTAATTTTTGTTAACTCGTATTTACTACTATTATTTCCTTAATTATTCCTTCGATGTCTCGACACGCAATGTTACTTCCCTTAAAACATATTTCCTTATGCTTCACTTACTGCTATTAAATATTATACTTAATAGAGCATTGCAACATAATACAACTGTTGTATCATGATTATGTATCGGAGAACATCATCTTCGTTGTGAATAAATGAAAATAATTAAAATTGATAATATTTACCACAGCAAAAGTGCTATCTGCTAAAAATGGTTTTTCATTATTGTTATGAATACAAACATATACATGCGTGTATAATGGATAGTGCACACATATCACAAACTTCTCAGGGCCAGCTTATCATTTTAAACTCACTTTCCTGGGATGATATTTCCATTTTAATGGTTGTCTCATGTCCTTGTTTAGAAATATTTTATTACTGACGCTAGTATATTATTTTTAAAGACGATAGATTTTTTTATTGCCAATTTTTTTCAGACGACCATCCCTTTTGGGCCATGGTAAATGAATTTTTTAATTTGATTTAAAATTCAGCTCTACGTTGCTGATGGATTATCTTTATCGAAATTGAGGAACCCATTATAAAGTACAGATACATCTTAATTTATTGATTTTTTACCGAGAGTTTTTTGGTCAGTCAGCAAGACCCAGTTCAGCAAGACCCATGTATTCTTAAAATTATCCATTGGCACAGGCGGATTAACGGGGGAGGGCTTTCGTGCTGAAGCCCTCCCCCCACTCCCAAACCATGTTTTATAGAAAAAAATATTAAAAACTATCTCTTAAAATATTATTGTTCGTGTACTTACATTTAATAGGACTTCAAGAATCACTTAAACACCATTTAATATAAGTTCATTTCTTTCTTCTTTTTAAAAAAAATTAATTATCGTTATATATATGAAAAAAAATCTTTCGGGCTGACCACCCCCCCCAAAATTAAATCCTGAATCCGCTAGTGTCCACTGGTAGGTGCCTCCAAATATAATAATATAATATTATCCGACATATAATAATGCTTTCAAAGTATAATATGAATTTTGATTTTAGATGACAACAAGTTTAGTTAGTATGAATAGCAAACAAAGTTAAGTCTATAAACGCTTAAAGGTATGTTAAAAAAAAAAAATACTGCTGTATTAAAAGGCTGGAGATATTTATTGATAAGCAATTGCGGATTCAGGATTTAATATTAGGGGCTTCAACGCAAAAACTGTTTTTTATGTGTATATATATATATATAATTTGCTATATATATATATATATATATATATATATATATATATATATATAACCATGATTATTACTTATATGAAATGATGTTTAAGTGATTCTTGAATTCCTATTAAATGTTATTACACGAACAATAATACTTTTAGGGTTAATTGTTAAAAAAAAATTTTCATAATAAATGGTTATATTTTAATATTTTGGGAGAGTGATGCTTCAGCCCGAAAGTCCCCCTCCTCCATCGTAGATTCGCCTGTTTTGGAAATGGTTGCATAAAATTTTGAGAAATTACGTTTAACTCCCTTCCCAATGTAGAAAAATATTAAGGTACTTTAATGGAAGTTTAAGCACGACCTGCAATGTCATAATGGGAAAACTATTTTATACTCCTGATCTGGTAAAAAATAAAATAAACATAACACGGAATTCAAAACATCCTCCTTCTGAAGAATCCTAAACTTTTAAAGTGGATTTTAGGTGAGCAGAATTGATTTTATATTTTAAATTCTTATATTATAAAACTTAAATTATTGAAAAAATTTCATTGTGGTCTATGTAAATCGTTTTATATTTTTTGTTTGAGCTAGGTAATAATTTTATGTAATTTGTGAATCGTAAGGGGTTATAGAAAGTTTAATCGCACTGAGTGAAACCTTTTCATTCTTTTTTGTACTTGATTATATTTCAGGTAGTATAAGCATATTATATATATATATATATATATATATATATATATATATATATATATATATATATATATATATATATACATATATAATTGTATTTTTACTCACCGATTGGTTTACTGTCATGGTGTCTGCAAGGCTACGAGCTACTTATCTGCCTTTTTCCTTCATAGTTTTGTCCTTACCCCTCTCTTCTGTTACAACATAAATTTGCCTCCGCAGGTTCGTTGCATTAGTTCACAGTATGAAAGCTCTCATAGAAATATATTATAAATAAAAATCCATTTTATAGGCTGATTCAATGAAAAAAAACAAAAAAAAAAGCTACAAATTATTTCACAATGGTTTATTATTTCCAAGCAATTATACATCTAAAGTAACATTATCTTCCGAGTTATAAAGAAAAATAAATAAAAGGTGATTCCAATTATTTGCCTAAATTTTTTTTCATCATTAATAATTTGTTAAAAAAAAATTGCATTAGTTAAGTAACACATTCAAATAAAAAACCAAACGAAAGGATACAACCTTTGAAGTAGAACATATAAAAACATCTAGATACCATATCTTTGCTCATAAATGTCCAATTTTAAAGATTTTTTTTTGTCTTTTTAGGAATTTTATTTTAGATAACCAATCAGTTCACTAGTTTCGGAGAAAATGCGCGGACGGTGGACAGACAAACTAATTTCTATTCGTTTTTCAAATTAGAAGTATACTGAAACGTATAATTTTGGGAGGGGGTTAAATTTTTGAATTTGTTATTCGATTACAATGGTTCATTATTGAAAATAATAAACCAAAAATATTTTAAAATCGCGATATCTTTACTAATAGTGCTCTGATTTCGATTAAACTTTCTTCATTTTTTTAGGAAATTTAAATACCTTTGAAACATCTTATTACAATATCAACAAAAAAGTGTATACCTTTTTGAGTTATTGGGATTCTAAATTTTCCATCCTTTGTAATTCTGTTCCAGCTTCTTTTCGTTGGAATATATCATATGAATAAATTTAAAGTTTTATTGAAATCGGTAAATTCATTTAGGCGCTGCAGTCTACAGCGACGCAGGTTTTTGGTTGACATCTTGAAAGGAAAAGATGGATAGTGATTTCGATGAAGGAGGATCATCCTCGGGTGACCTCTGATTTTAAATCCAAATTTGAAAAAAATCTGTCCATAGTTTTGGAGAAAGTGCACGGATGGCGGACGGACAAAAACATTTTATTTGTTTTTCGAATTCTTCGTATTCTGAAACGTATTCAAAATTTGAAAGGAAGTTAAGTTCTTACTTTTTTTTTCCATTACGATGGTTCATTGTTGAAAATTATAAACTAATAATTTTAGACTATAGTCCTCTGAGAATAATAACAGAGTTCCATAATTATGCATATTAATGCCTGGCTTAGATTATGCAAAATGGTTAACTGGTGATGGCTTAATTAAACAGGTGGGGAAGTTTTATATATCGCCCCATCCGTTTAATTAAACAATATATATATCCAGACGATTTCCTGGACTGGAAATTGATCGCATTTATACACTTACACATATAAACATCTATACTCATACATATATATGTTATCTTTTATCCACTCCTGATGTAAATTAAATATGAACCATATCCAAATTGAAATAAGTAAAATAAAATTGTGGGCATTATTATAAAACATTGCATTATTTACACAATCTATAAATAAGAAATAACATTTTATTCAATCATTTAATATCGTTTTAGGTAATATATACAATCTGAGAAAGTACATCATGTAATCGTTTGATATTATAGTCATAACGTTACTTTTTAAAGGATCAGTTAACGTGATCGTGGTCTCCTGATTCAGCCTTTTGGCCTCGTTCCTCAGCATTTCTCGTAACTTCCGAACTAGCTAGATCGGATTGGTTTTCTCGACCAGAGATCTTCAACCCATCTTTTTCATCGACAAATGCATCTTCCACATCTTCTATTCTCTTTTTGAAGTCCTCCTTAGGATGAACATCAGTATCCTCTTGAAAGGTCATTGATATAACCTCTGTCTCTTTTATGTTTGGTTCATCTTCTAGTAAATTCGTGCTTTTCGGACAAACAAAACTGGAGTTTTCTAATTCACTCGATGTAGAAGCGGCTTTATCTCTTGTTTCTTCCAAATTCAGCTGTTTATATTCTTCAGTAATGCTTTCAGTAAGATCTTGTTCCATCGCGCAAGGATCATCATCGATCTTCGCAGCCTCCGTGTCATCCTGTTCGTCCATGTTTTTCTCAGAGCTAGACTCACCACTACTCTTTCTAAATAAGGCGTGTGCGTCCTTTCTGAAGTGACACTTTGTGACTTCTTCCCATCCAAACTCACGAAGCTTGTTTCGTACCTCTTTGCCGAAACAACCCGCATCTCTTTCGAGACCGATGACAAACTTCCTTGTTTCTATTACTAGGCAACCGCATGGTTTAATCATTGACATTATATCCTGGTTAAGAAACTTGTAGAAATTTTGTGCAACGAAGGCCATATCGAAGAACTCTTTATTCCTGAAAAAATAAATAAAATCATTGTTAAAAAAATAAATTATTGAAGGGAAAAAAAACTACATAAAATAATGAGAAAAACAAAACCGGAGAATATTTTTAGTTTTCCAATATCTCATAAATCTATAATATTTTTCTGAATTGAATTAATCAAAATAGCGTAGAAGATAAAAATATGTGAAACACCAATTTATTTTACATTCAAAACTTTAATAATCCTATTCGATTCGGAGGTTTGTGAAACCCTTTATCTTCTGGAAAATGTAGCAGGTGGAATTAAAAAGATAACAAGAAACATTCCTGACAACTTTGAGCTGAAGCTGGGCCAAGTTTCTTTAGAATAATATAAGAATAATACAGAAATGTGGGCTTTGGGTCTTCAGAGATGTATACCAATAACCAAATACATAACAAAAAACGCCTCCTAAGTAAGGCCAGTATAGTTGAGAGGAAAGTATTTTATATAAAATACTACATATTTTATTTCGTTTTACAATAAAATAAATATAGTATTTTATATAAAATACTATATAAAAATATATATAGTATTTTATATAAAATACTATATATAAAAATAAACATTTATGGATTCAACTCTACAAGAAAGCTCCTCATATCTTGATGAAACGATTAAGAGGAGGAAAAAAAGATGAAAAATAAGTTTATTTATTAGTTTTTTTTTTTTTTTTTCACGTATGGGTATATTTGAAATTATGTTAACAAAGCTACTGAATATATTGCTTTTTTTACTTTCACTTACGTTTATATGTAATATACAGTAAGGTTACGTATTGCGATCGAGAAATTTTTTGGATCTGAGTTTTCAACGGAAATGCACTGAGGTACCCTGAGTCGAAATGACCAAGTCCCGAAAAATGGTCTGTGTATCTGTGTGTTTGTATGTTAGCAGTCTAGCTCAAAAACGATAAGTCCTTCGAAACTGATATTACGTATTTAAGATAGGTATATGCCTTAGATGTGACGGCAACTTTTTCCTTAAAATCGGCTCACCGGAAGTGCCACTTTATATCAACACATTTTCACTATTTTCTCAAAAACGGCTCCAACGATTTTGATTAAACTCGGTGTATCATTGTATAATTAAGTGGTCTTTAATATCAATGGTTTTTAAAAGTTTATGGAATTTCCTAAAAAAACAAAAAAAAAGTTTAAAAAGTCAGACAATTAGGAGGAAAGATATGGTCTCTAGTTTTTTTTCCCTGAAGAGGCGAAAATTTCGATAAATTTAAAATATACTGCTTTAATTGTTGAGACTAAAAAAACTTTTTTCTACAGATATTTAATAAAGTATCTTTCCTAAGAACATTTTTCATAAGAAATAAGTACCTAAATTTATACCTTTATTCTCAGTTCTATATTTCAATATTGCAATCAGCATCTCCGGAATCAACTTATTCATATTCTATATAGATAACTTTTTCAACTAAAAATATCACTAAAATGACATCACTCAAAAATGTTGAAATTGGAGTTAGTCATTCTGAGGTTTATAAAAGCAAAGAAAGTTGTGTGGTTTATAAAAGCAGATGGAGTGAGTAGATTTTTATTTTCTGTCGTTAATATATTAAATAGACATTTTGTAATTATAATGGTCTGAATGACTTGTTATCTGTAAGTTTTAAGCTTTAGCTCCGTTTAAAATGCACTTCAAAAAATTTATAATAGCCCAGCATTGCCAGAAAATAATTTCTACTGCCTTGAGGTACTCCAGCTTTTATCTGCTTGATGGCAGAAAACTCAGTCCCCATTTTCACACGGAAAAAACTATCTTTTAGATATGATAGTAAAATTAAGTAATACGTCGGAGGAATAATCGTTTTCAATTTATGTAACAAACCATCGTGCAATATTCAATCAAAAGCCTGACTCATGTCAAGAAAAACGCTAGGACAGTACAATTTTGATTCTAGTGAGAAAGATATGTAATCCACAAGGCGGTAACATTGCTGAATAGTCGAATGAAAGCATTTATAAATATATATTTTTTTTTACAATTGTGCTTTTAGAAATTTCTCATACTCTAGGAATCACAAATCTCTAAATAGTTGTTTCATTAAGCTAGTATTTTTGTATCTTGTTTGTTTCCGTTCAAGTGTGTTTAGAAATTTCACAAACTATAAGAAACACAAAGTTCTGAAAGATTGTTTTCTTTTGCTAGTGTTTTTGTTTTTGCAGGTTTCGTTTGCTGTTAGTTTCAAAATAAATCATACAAGCAAGTTTGGACAAGCGGTAGTGTTGCTGTTATACATTAGTTTCCCGTTTGTGTTGCTTGACTGGTGGTCTATAAAGATTGGTTGTATTTTATTGTGGGGTGGGTTTCATTTTGAGAGGTGTTAGGCTGGTATAACGAGATTTTATTTTTCCTAGGATGTTATTAAAGTGGACCCTAATTATTGGATCCAATAAAAATAGAGATCTGCGATGGGTAAAATAAAATCAAAATCAATTACAATTAATCTACATGAAACAATAAAATATGTACACGTTTTATAAAATGACACACCGCTGAATACCATGTATTCAGCCACCCAAACCTCGTTTATAAGATGTCTTGGGTCCAACACTTTTCAACATTTACTGTTCAGACATCCCACAACATTCTGAAACACTGTTGGCTACATTTGCTGATGACTCGGCAATATTAACATCTAACAAGGATGCAGCTAAGGCTTCTCAGGTACTTCAAGAACACCTAGACGACATAGCTTGTTGGGCTAAAAGGTGGAGAATAAAAATGAACGAGCCTAAGAGCCAATTTGTTTCATTTACACTTAAACATGACTCTTTTCCTCCAGTGTTCTTTAACAATATTGCTCTATCACCTTCAAAAACTGTACGATATTTGGGTCTCCACTTGGACAAACGACTGACATGGACATACCACATAAAACAAAAAAGAAAAGAACTTAATCAGCGATACGGACTTCTTTCTAGGCTACTTGACAGACGTTCTAAATTATCTGTGACTAATAAATTAACTATTTACAAAGTCCTCATTGAACCACTATGGACATATGGGATCGAACTATGGGGAACAGCAAAGAAATCAAATATAAAAATCATCCAGTCATTCCAGTCAAAAGTCCTTCGGAAAATTGTAGACGCACCCTTTCATGTTTCCAACCTCACGTTACACACTGACCTTAACACTCCTTTCATCGCAGCAACTGCCACTGACCGCTTTATTAATTTTCATGACAGACTGACTTTAAATTCCAATCCACTTACTCAAGCTCTATCTACTGCCACAAATCCATATAATCCGACCAGAAGACTGCTGAGGCGCTGGTCAAGAGACTTATTGCATTGAGCTACATTATCTTTTTTGTGTGTGTGTGTGTGTGTTTGTTATTATGTATGTGTTATTTTACTACTGTTTTTTTTGTTTTGTTTTTTGTCTGTTTGTTTTGTTATTACTATTCTTTTTTTTTATGCTATCATTTCTTCTCCTTGATATCATATTTGCTGAATACCGAGGTAGATGGCAAATTTATTGTAAGCCACGAGTATGTATAATTAATAAATAAATGCTTTACTGCTGATAATGTTATGTACTTACTTGGCTTTCTTTGGGAAGATATCCATCGCATTGCCAGGAAGGAAGAAAACCTTACAGTTGGGTACCGGAATGGCACTGTAGTCCTCTGGCGTAGGATCAGGTTCGTAGTCTAAGATGACTTCCCTTTCGAGATCTACGTTCCCCGGCTTCATCATGACCAGGCCGAGGTCTATGCAAGCGGTGTAGAGGTCACTCGGAGGACTTCCGTGCTCTAGTTCGTGGAACATCCGCTGCAGATTCCTTTCCGTGATATCCGTGGCTCGCCGGACGTTGACTTCGTTGCGGACTTCCAACATCGGCTTCTCTTCAGAGTCTGTTCCGAAGGCGAAGAAGGGACCGGACTCCATGTCCCCCCAGTAGCCATGGCTGTAGAGGTTGTCACCGCTGGATCCTATACCAACTGCCAGCGTCGGGTTCCCAACGGAGTATTCTGTCTCCAGCCAAGTGAAAGCAATACCTATCAACAATATTGAACTTTCTGAAATATTACTCAACCATAATAGTCCGTGGTACAGACCCCTTTTTATCAACGACAATTATCAGAAATGGATGTTTTCTGATTAAATAAATTAAATTAATGAGGTAATAAAAACTCGTAAATACCCATTTGTTTACCACTTGAATCGTGAGATAATTTCCTCACAAAATCGTTAATCAGTGCCGTACAAAAATAATGATCTATATAACTTCGTTATTTTGATATGTTATGAGTGGAGGTCAACTTTTTTCTTGATTTTGTGGTTAAATTATCTTACAATTCAATTGGAAAACAAGCAAGTATTTATAAGTTTTTAGTAACTAATTAAATATACAAAGTTTACTGATCATCACATTGAAAACGCCATAATTCGGAGAATTTTCGTAAAAAAGTTGTAGTTTACAATTAGATGAAGCTATTCACGAAGTTTTAGGCGTATGTTAACAATTTGATAAAAAGGGATGTGTACCACGGACTACAAATCCATCTAAATTTAAATAAATTGAGTCGCTTATTTCCAAAGTAAACCCTGATCGGTCCCCATTTAAAAAACAAAACGAAAATCCCAGGGCACAGTTTATTTTTTTATAAACATACCTAAATTAAAAAAAAAAAATTGGTTTATTTCTAAAATCGGTAATTTTTTACGGAATGTTATGATCCTTGGGTTTTTAAATATTCTATAAAAATAATCCATGATAGGTTTTTTTAATCGTTTTATTCAAATGAAAATTAAAAATAAAAAAATTAATCTTATTGCACCATTGTTGTAAACAAAAAGTTTATTTTCATTTTCAAGTTTATATCCAAAGGATGGGAAACAGTCTATCAAAAGATATACAGAAAATAAGCATGTCTGTTAAGTTTGGCGACGTTTGACCCAATCCTGGTGTTATCATCGGAGCTCTCACATTCAAAAACTCTAGAAATCTCTCATTAAGGGGGTAGAATGTTATGATGTTATGATAAAGCCAGTTCTATTATACAGCTCCAAGAACAGATAATTGAGAATAACGTAGAAGGCTAAAAAACCTGATGGACAAATCGAATCAACAAAGATGATGCATGCAGAATATTGGAAAATAATTGCCAAAAAATAGAAACAAATGGAGAAGGCTGAATAAGATCTCCAAGGTCAGTAAACCTATAGAAAAGAAAGATATATTTTAAACTTTAGTATTTTTTTCAATGATTGTTTTGGAAGGGGAATGTTTCTTCTTTTCTCTCCCCGTGGATCCGTCACTGTTCTCAACGGACACAGTTAGTCATTCCGTAAATGTGTGAGTGAATTGCTTTAATCGAGTTATTATTGTCTTTTTTCTGCCTTTTAGGATATATAGAGTTTCTCAAATTCCGATGCTCAGTGGGGCTTTTCAACTCAGGCAATAATCCCGAGCCAGAGGAGATAATCTCCAGGCAATGATCTCCTCTGGCTGGGGATTATTGCCTGAGTTGAAAAGCCCCTTTGAGCATCGGAATTTGAACTTGTAAGCTTTGGTTTAAGTGATAAGTTTACCTGGCAACCCGCGATTTGTACATATTTGTAGCCCACACGGCCACCTACCTCCCTCTCTTCCTCCTCCTCTTATAAGTTTATTATAAATTCTGTATCGTTTCCTAATGTGTTTGTTAAATAGACTTTCTTGATAATATTATATTGTTTAAAAGAATAAATATGTTTCCCTAATACCTGTTCCACTACAACTCATGAAGGGTCTTGGGTTCAGTACTATTTAGGGAAAGCACTGTTCCTTGTTCAACGGTTGAGCGAGGTGGTGATTTAACGGAGATCACGCTCAACCGCCAAGTTTTCCCCCTTAATAATTATTTAGTTAAAGATGAAACAGAATATCTCAAATAATTCGTATAATTCAGGTGTATTAGGCAGAAGAAAGATACAATGCCTAATCCGAGAATTCTTGAACGGATTTACTCGCGTGTTTATAAAAAGACATATATTGTTTCTTTAAATAGGAAAAAAAAATCGGATAAACCAACTCACCAGTGTTCCGCCAGTGAACATATTCCGACTTGCATACCCTGTGGCCTCCAGGTTTCACAGACAATTCGATGCTGTAATCCAAATCGAAAAAATCGAACCTGTAATCATAGTCCTCCTCCAATTTGGCCCTGAGTAGCTCATCCCAGGCCCGGCTGATGGGGTACTGCTTGTTGTTCTGGTAGTATTTAGCCACTTCTTCCAGATAATCGAGGTCAGAGTAGCGAAGGAGGCTCAGATTCAACAGTGGTATCCTCCTTTCTAGGAAATTCTTGTCGCTGATCATATGGCGGAGTTGACACATCTTACGGATGACGTACTTGGCTGTAGGGCTCCGGAGAAGGGTATTCCCGTACACTTCCATCCATATCCTTGACTTCTCCAGAAGTCCCAATTTTCCACTCGGTTCCAATGCTATTGTTAGGAGCAGCATCTGCCTCACAAGCGCCTCCCCTGAATCCGTGACGAAGAAGTTCACCTTTATCAAACGACTTATATAGCGATGCTCTTTGAAGTGTTGATGATTTAACCAATAGAATGCGTTTAATCTATTCGTTTTTGAAGAATGTAGACAATTGTTAATGTATCGTATAGTTCACAACAATAACATTAATAGATGAATGAATAACATTTAAGCCACGAGAAGGTTAAGAAGATTAACTTGACCCTTTGTAGGAAGGTAATGATTTTTTTTCAGTTTATTTATTTTCAGCCAACTTTACATCAATTTTTAATTTTGTCAAGTTAATGACTACACATCTCAATTATGACGTTTCGGCTCGTCGAGCCATTTTCAAGTCTAAAAGAAAATTTTCAATTTACAATCATATCTAAACTTTACATATTTCAAAATATAAAGATTTTTTATATGCATAAATACCCATCATGTACCTGTCCATATTCACTTATGCATGCGTCTACTCATACTAAAATGTTTTATTCTTGTCATGTCCCCCTTTAATTATTGTTAAAATTACCTTACAATGTGTCACCCACATGCCATCTGTCTCATTTCGATTCAATGCGGTTATTCTTATAGGAGTAAGGGAAGACTATTTATTATAATCATATATTTATTACCTTACTTTGATGGAAGGTAATGATATTTTGAGTGTGAAGACTTCTTTTCAGCCAAGTTTCGTTAGGAGGTAGAAGGCACCTGACTTCATCAAATTTTAATTTCATATATCTAACTTTTAGTAACAATTTATCAAGGTATTTTGGTGAATATGCGAGTGATATTAAGTCTTGTGAAATGAACAGGATTATTTCCATTTTCTTTTTAAATTATGTCAGCAAGCTCCGAATCGAATCGGCTTTTGTCACAATCACACTAATCAAACTTTACATGGGTCCCAATATAATCTTTGAGCGCCCAAAAATAGACATAAACGACCGATCCTCAACCATTAGTGACAGAACGTTTAAGTTAAGCTAGGTTAGAGATCGGCTAAAGTCCTCGCAACGTTTACTTATTTTTATAAATAAAAACATTGTGAACCAACTTATCATAATATTTTTCAGAAATTCCACTTCTTTCTAGAAAATATATATCGAAATCAATATAACTCTTGTCTTTTTGATCTAGGATGATCAACAAGTGTGTCCAAAAGGAAGTGGTATGATGCAAGTTGTGCTATAAAACATTTTGAGGGATGAAGATTTTTTTGTATAAAACCATATTTTTGTATCATCGGTGCCAATAATAGATTTAGAATCTATTATTGGAAAAGATTTTTTTTTTTTCAATAATTACTTTGAAAGTAAAAGAAAAAGTATATTAACAACGTTAAAGTGGTTCTTGAAGTCCACTTAAAACAAAATTACATATTCTAATCGGAGAGGGGCTTCAGCCTGCAAGGTGAACTCCTCTCCCACCTCAGTGCTTGGTACCGGCACATAAGACGAGGTGCACATACTTCCCAAAGCCGATGGAGCATGAACTCCCTCCCAAGAAATTTCATTGCTTCCCTGTTCTTAAAAATAAAAACAGGGCAAGCGGAAGTGGATTCAGAAGAATTTAAAATAGACAATTACTTTTACTTTGGTCTGGTCTATATTTTATCCTTACTCCCTGGATTGAATGCTCCTCGAAATCGAAATGCTACGCAAATTTCAAAACCCTTTAAAAATGTGCCCTATTAAAAAATGTTGATAACGCATCTTGTGCCATGTATCCCAATTCAATTATTCCTAAAAGTGAGTCATTAAGACTTGATGGATAGAATATGAAAGCCAATTCACATTTTATCTACTCCCATACATTAAGTCCACGGTCCAAACCCTTTGTTATTAAATTATTAACATCCTACTCAAACTTTGTGAATGACTTCATCTTATCATAACCTACAACTTTTTTATTCACGAAAATTCTCGAAGATGAGGCTTTATCAATCTGGAGATCAATAAACTTTGTTTATATAATAAGGTATTGAGACAACCCCGTAGAATCTGAAAATTATAATTTCAAATCATATGTTTTGTTATAATATTTGTAAAACTTTCAGTGCTAATTAGAAATGTATGTAAGTTTTATGTTTATTAAAACGTTTAATTCACACTTGTGCTTTTCTTTTTAAAGTTCACATCAGGTAGTAAAAACTCATGTACACTCATTGGCTATCTACTTGAATCATATGATAACACTGTCCTACAAAAAATCTTTTTTGCCTGTATCTGCGCAAAACTGTTTCTCTAGACTAATTTTGGTGTGAGAAACTCGAATTTTCTGTCAGAATCCGTTCTGTAAATACTTACACCCAATAAAAAAAAAAAATAGAAGTTACACGATCATTTTTTAGTCTTTAAAAGTGCTTTATTATTTGTGAAATACTTTTACAACCCACAAAACATTAAATTACAACTTTTCTCGGCAAGAACAGCATTGTTGTACAGTTTGTTCAGAACGATTTTTTTTTTTTTTTTCTGTTCTTCCCTACCTCGCCTTTTAGGCTATACGGGATTATCCCGGACCAGAGGG